AACTGTACTTTTTTCAAATGTCGCGCCTTATGTGAAGCTCTGCAATAAAGACATGTTGAAATCAGCTCACTGTGTTATATGCATTTCATGACATGGTATCAGAAGTACTAACCTGCGCATCTACTTGTTAATCCTTTCAGATGTCTACGTTTACTCCACCTGAGCCATTTGATTTTTATCAGCCTGCAGCTTGGCCTACCTGATGCCAGCGGTATGTATGCTTCACAATTGTATCCAAGCTGGATAAGGAGATTAGTGAAGTACAAATTAATTCTCTTTTATATTTTATTGGGAAATATGTGGAGCCCCTCTACAATATATTTACCTTGCCTGAGGAAGAAGAATTTGACTTTGACATAGTTATCAATAAGCTCAGTGCCCATTTTTTACCCAGAAGGAATGTAATTCACGAGAGGGCCTGTTTTCATAAGCATGGCGAGCATGTGGGCAAATCATTTCAATCATTTGTGCGCAGCCTTTATAAATTGGCAGAGTTGTGTGAGTTTAGTACTGCCAAATAGGTGCAGATCAGAGACAGAATTGACATAGGAATTGCAAACTCAGAAGTCTCACTGCAGCTGGAATCTGAGTTGACACTTGACGAGGCTATACAAATGGCCTGTTAGAGTGAACTGCTGAAGACGCAATGTGCAGAGACAAGAGCTGAAAGTATGGTAGAATAACAGCAGTAGTCAGACCATGCACCGGTTAGGATTAGTTACATAGATACATAGTTGAAAAGAGACTTGCGTCCATCAAGTTCAGCCTTCCTCACATATGTTTTTGCTGTTGATCCAAAAGAAAACCCAGTCTGAAGCGCTTCCAATTTTGCAACAAACTAGGAAAAACTTCCTTCTTGACCCCAAAATAGCAATCAGATGTCTCCTTGGATCAAGCAGCTATTACCCCACTAATTAGAAATTATATCCCTGTATGTTATGTTTTTGCAAGTATTTATTCAATTGCAGTTTAACCCCTTAAGGACCAAATATCTGGAATAAAAGGGAATCATGACATGTCACACATGTCATGTGTCCTTAAGGGGTTAAACATCTGTATGGACTCTGACAAAACCACCTCTTCAGGCAAAGAATTCCATATCCTTATTGCTTTTACTGTAAAAAAAACTTTTCTTTGCCTTAGATGAAATCTCCTTTCTTCCAGCCTAAATGCGTGACATCGTGTCCTATGTATAGCACTGTTTATGAATAGATTTCCAGATAATGGTTTGTACTGGCCCCGAATATATTTGTAAAATGTTATCATATCCCCTCTTAGGCGCCATTTTTCCAAACTAAAGAGATTAAACATTTTTAACCTTTCTTCATAACTAAAATGCTCCATTCCTTTTATCAATTTTGTAGCTCGTCTCTGCACTTTCTCTAGTGCCATGATATCCTTCTTTAGAACAGGTGCCCAAAATAGCACAGCATATTCAAGGTGTGGTCTTACCAGTGATTTATAAAGAGGCAAAATTATATTTTCATCTCGAGAATTTATGCCCTATTTATACATGACAAAACCTTACTGGCCTTAGCAACGGCAGATTGACATTGCATATTGCTGCCTAATTTGTTGTCTATAATAATTCCCAAATCCTTTTCGTGTGTGGTTATCCCTAGTTCTCTACCATTTAGGGTGTAAATTGCTTGTGCATTCTTAACCCCGAAGTGCATAACTTTGCATTTCTCTATGTTAAATTTAATCTGCCATTTTAGTGCCCAATCCCCCAATCTACCCAAATCCCTCTGCAGCAAGGCAATATCCTGCTCACATTTTATTACTTTACAAAGTTTTGTGTCATCTGCAAACACTGATACATGGCTTTCAATACCCATTTCAAGATCATTTATAAATATGTTAAATAGAAGCGGTCCCAAAACAGAACCCTGAGGGACACCACTTACCACTTTTGTCCAGCTTGAAAATTTACCATTAATGACAATTCGGATAGGATAGAGAATAACCAGCAATATAAGACCCGTGCAAATTGGAAGATGAATGAAGCGATTCTAGATATAGAAGATAGTCAACTTTTGACATGTTTATTTTGGGTAACACGCCTCATATTATTTTCTCTAGAGCTCCTAACCTGAAACTTATGTTGGCACCAACAATTAAGAATAAAACAATCCGGGGCGGGGCCTGACCGCCAAGCTAAGCGGTCGCAGGACAGAGCTTCTCCTGCCATTACTCAACAAAAATCTGACTAATTAGCCAAGAATTGCGATCAATCATCTCCAAAAAGCCACTAACCGATAGGTGCAACCTAGGGGCACCTGCCGATACCAAACAAAGGGCCCAACCGACAACACTTAATGGAGAGACGCCTGCGGCCTACAAACATGGGCAGCGTAGGGGAGACGGCCGCTCCACCGCAGCCCTCTACAGCTAGAAACAGGTTTATGAGTCCTTGTTCCCCCCCCCCCCATGGACCGGCGGGGGTTATCCTGGTCCCAGAGGTGCCCATCCGAGCTGTGGAACGGCGACCCAAAACGAAGCCCACAAACCCTACACTGGCGGTAAAAGCTATTCGACAACCCAATGCATTAACTGGGGACGACACTATGGCACGACTAAATGCCATCGTTGAAGCTTTCTGGGAAAAAATTGCAGTACACCAAGCTATGGCGCGAGCCACAGAACTGCGCACACCGCCACTGTGGCCTACACGCTCCTGTCCACGAGGCATACCTTCCAGCGGGACGCGTGAAGGGAAATGGCGCAATCGGCAGTGATACCATCCGCCACCAAGTAAGCACGTGCTGAAGCACAAGGCAGGGACCACCAGCTCCCGCAAGCACAAGCTGCCCCTTGTTAGGCTCACCACCCTGAATTTAAGCGACGCTAGCTCTGTGAAGAGCATGCACCACCTCAAACACGGCCCCAGGACGGCATCGAAGATCACATGGCGGGCCCAGAGCTGCAGACCACACGCCGAACAGCCTGCAGGGTGCTTCCCCACACCCACACTGCCAGGAATAAAACCAAGACACAACCGGAGAGCACCCTTCTGTCCCAGCGGAGAAGACACTTTGCAGGGAAAACCCTCATGCACATGCTTCCAACACAACCAGCAAGCCTCCAGAGCCGGCATTGGCTGAACATCGACAGCTACACCGAACTGAGGCATTGGCGGATGCTACCCTGCGATCTCGAGCACGATATCCGCCAGGCTGGTCTAAGGACTACACCGTCTGTATGAAACTTAATGGTACCAGGTGACAGCCTGCAGCTCATACTTTATTTTATTATGCCAGCTCCCATCCTGGTGGACAGAGCGGGACTTTACTTATGTTCATACCGTTCACACGCATACAAATGATTAATTGGAAATTCCCAGAGTGCCTTGCCGGTGCCGACCACAGGAACAGGCTGACTATCACTGCCGCACTGCGGTTTGGACTGCTGCCACACCACCATGTCCATGCAGCCAAAGAAGACTCTGTCTCACATCCCTATTATCCAGCCTTGTCTCCTTGGCCTGGGCTACATTAGCACATCTAGTCATGCAAACTTACACCCTTGTTTACTACCCTAGTAAAAGCTGGCATCCCTTACTACCCCACATGCCTTCTAGGGTGCTCCTGCCGCACAGTTAAGTTCTACTACAACTCCACACTTGACTCTTACACCAGACGCCCATATAAGCAAACATAATTTCCAGTGGCACTGGTTATGTTTGTGAGGCCCGTTGTATTTAACAAGTGTATAGCCCAGTATATAGATATAGTACCTGGCCTAGCATGTATCATGGTTATAAACCTCATTTGTTTTTGTTTCAGCATAGCCTGTACCCTGTTGGTAAACCAGATACATGAATAGCTATGTTCCCCTATGTAACCCCACAGTTTACTTGCAATGTTAGCTCCAATCTTGTATTGCATACATTAGACAGGTACCTGGACACCTAGCTTGAAATTGATGACACAACGAGACACCTGCCTGCTTGACAATATATCAGCTAATATAACTTGTGTTCACTGCATATGTATATCACTAATGATATTATTTTTACAAGGCTCCTGAAAATGAATAACACATACTTAGCAGCCACAGAAATGTCATGCCTAATGTACCTGTTCTATTTAAGGCCTTGAGGAAAAAATGATTTAAAACCGTAGCAATTTTCTCTGGCATATTGTATAATTTCCTTCAGGTGGGGATAAACCCCCATTTAATTCCTTCCCCTTGCGTTTTTTTTTCTTTTCCTGTGTTTTTTTTTATTTATTTGTTCTGCCTCTGCCTGTGTGGACTGCCCCTTCAAATTCATATATTACAATGTCCTTGTTCAGCTGTAAAGTAGCCTGACCCTACTTTTCTCCCCATAACTCCTGTAACCACCCAGCATTAAATTAATAGCGGAAAGTGACAATTTAAAAGAGAAGAAAAAAAGGGGGGAAGAAAGGGAAAGAAAGAGTAGATTAAAAGAAAGCAAGAAAAGCAGATAAAGGAAATAAAGGAAAAGGGGAGAAAAGGAGGAGATTAAAAGTAAGCGGAAGGTAGATAAACAAAATAAAGGAAAAGCGGAAAAGGAATTCACTAAAAGGGAGGAAAAGAGAGGTAAAGGAATATAGACAAGAAGTGGAGGAAAGAGAGAATAAAGAAAAGTAAGGAAAAGGGATAAGAAGGGCAAAAGATAATTGGATCTAGGTGGAAAAAGAAGACATGAGGGAAGATAATATAACAAATTAAAGATATTAAGGAGACAAGAACCTCCAGGAGAGAGCAAAACAAAATGGCCACGAAAAAGACACAAGATGGTAAACAATTAAGAAAAGAAAGAAAACCGGAAAATAAAACAGAAAAACGCCTCTCCTTTTTTTCGCCAGCCAGGAAATAAAACAAACCTGGAATAATCTCTCCAGACAAACATTACAACAGAGGTAGATATCAATAAGGGTCACATGGAGGACAGCCAAGAAACAAGCGAGGGAAGGAAGGAATACGACCACCTTCTTAAACACCTGGATAATCAATTTGAGAGGCTCAGAGAGGAGATGCAAGCCAGCACCAGGGATATCAAGAAGGAGTTATCTTGCCTCAATAAACAGATTCAGGGAACAGAGGAAAAATTAAATGCAATGGAACAAAGAGAAATAATTCACAGAGAGGACTATTTGGCACTGGAAAGAAAAATGATAGAAATGGAGAACAAACCGATGGACGCTGAAGATAGATCTAGGAGGAAGAACCTAAGAATCAGAGGAATACCAGAACAAGTAACTACTAAAAATCTAGAGCCATATATAGAGGATTTCATCAAACACCTGGATGTGGAGTGGGACTTCAGAATCCCTACTATCGAAAGATGTCACAAAGTAAATAAACCAAGAGGAGTCCCAGACCTCCCGCCAAGAGATGTGATGTTACGTTGCACTTCCTTTAAACTCAACACCCAAATAATGAGTGCCTTAAGAAGTAAAAAATGTGCTCAAGAGTATGAAACCCTGAAAGTATTTCAGGATTTATCCTGGTCAACTACACAGAAGAGGAAAACCTTCGCCGACAGTACAATAATCTTAAGAAACAATAATATTAAATACCGCTGGGGTTCCCCATAAAAATAATCAGAACATACAAAAACAAAACTATATCAATTGATCGAGCAGAGGAACTAAAGAACTGTATAACAACAAACAATATAGGAATGGGCCCTAAGCACCCACCAACAAATAGTGAGGCCTCAACTAGCTGAAGGGGAAGATGGAGAGAAGGAAAAGGGGAAGGGAAAAAAAGGGGAATAAATACACTAAATAAATAATAAAGTACAGCCACAATACACAAGATGAAAAGAGATAATACATAGAAATGTAATTACACAGAAGAATATACATTTTTACACGAAGATAGAATATAAATGTATTACACAAAAAAAAAGGAAAAGAAAAAGAAAAAAGAAGGGGAATAAATACACTAAGTAAAGAATAAAGTACAGTTTAAAATACACAGAATGAAAAGAGGTAATACACAATTAAAGAAAACAATACAACACATAGATGGAAGTTAGCACCTACAAAAAAATAGAGGAAAACTAAAGGAAAATGAGGAAAAGGAAAATCACATTCAATTCAATTTAACAAGATAAATTATAAGAGCACTATTAAAATGGAAAAATTTGAGAAAAAAATTAAAACGAGAAGACACATTCACATAAGGAAATGTAATCACACAGAAGAATATAAATCCTCACACAAAGATAGAAGAGGGAATATATAAGCTAAAAGGTGGGCGTAATGTAAATAAGTTAGGTTCTGTACTGCAATTAAAAATATATATATATATTTAAAAAAAATAGATATACCGTTTCCTTGTAGGCTTTAAAAAAAATAAAAGAGGTTCCCTCCAAAGTACAGAATCTCAGCACGCTTTTCCCACATGACAAGTGGGACTAATAATCGAGTAATGCTAGACACTACTCAAGATGCTGTATGGCAGGGGATTTTCGCCATACAAAACCTAGCAAAACCTAGCATCTAAGTGGATTCCTAAACACTGGAACTACTTAGTACTTGAAGCAAACACAAATTATTTCCTTGATTTTAGCCTCATTATAAAATATGGAGAGAAAAGACCCCAAGTACAGACAGATAAGTTTAAATTAAGTAGGCATCAATAAATGCCTTACAAGAAACACATTGGACAAAACTCAACAAAAATACAATAAGTTCAATAAGATACCCCAAAATTATAAGCGCCTCTATGGATAATAAAAAATAAAAAAAAGAGGTGTCGCCTTTCTGTTTGAAAAAAAAAATGTAGCTTTAGATATAAAACATGAAATATTAGATCCAGAAGGCCGGTATATCATCTTGGTATGCAAAATTAACAACAAACTCTTTAAAATTGCCAACATATATGCACCAAACAAATCAACAATAAATTACATCGCAAAAATACTTAAGAAGATAGAACAGATTAAGCAAGGAGTGGTACTATTAATGGGGGACTTCAACTGTGTAATAGATCCCGTAAAAGATAGGTAGAAACAGAAGAACCGAAAAAATAGAATGCAAAACCTTCTGAACTCTTATAACTTGAGAGATATATGGAGAACATTCCACCCCTCAGATTTAGATTATACATGTTATTCTAGAACTCATAATTCTTACTCTAGAATTGACTTTATGCAAGGAAATATGTCAATGCTCTATCTGACAAAAAAATAGAGATAAAAGACATAACATGGTCAGACCATAGTCCGATTATATTAGAATATAAAGATGCCTTTGAACAATTCCGTAAAGATTGGTCAGCTCTGTTCTGCTCCCAGTGTAAATCTCGCGAGACCCGCTGACCGGGGAGCTGCACGGAGGAGAAGGGAGCTGAAAGGAGCTGCAGGAAGGTAAATAATAGCTCACTGTCAGCCCCCAACAGGACCGCCGGGCTTATAATGAGCCCGGCGGTCCTGGTCTGTATTATGGCAATGTAAATTGCCATAATACAGACTGACTCGAGTATAAGCCGAGTTGGGGTTTTTCAGCACAAAAAATGTGCCGAAAAACTCGGCTTATACTCGAGTATATACGGTAATCATTTTTGTTTTAGAAAATAAAGATAAAGGCACACCAGACATTACGGTCTGGTGTGCCTACAAAAGTGTAATTAGATGTCACATAATAAAAAACGGTAGCCACCGAAAAAAGAAAGGAATACCTCAATATATAACATTAAATGACCATAAAAAAACTAAACAAAGCGGTGCCTTCCATACAAACAGCAACTTAAAAACGCATAAATAGAACAACAGATAAATGTGCAGTTAACGGAAAAGGCCGCTAAGCAGCTAGAGTCCTTACAAGTAAGATGGTACTTCAAGGGCAACAAACCAGAAGCATTAATAACCAACAAGCTCAAAAAAGAAATACACAAAAGAACAATCTACAAAATAAAAGACAAAGACTTGTATTTGTTGACCCCAGAAAAAATAGGAAAACCATTCGGAAAAATCTATCAGGACCTTTACAACCTACCAGAAGAAATATACAGTAAAGGAGACGACAGACATTTTTCCAAAATATATGTATGCCAAAAATTCTATCTGATCAACAAAAAAGCATAAATCAACCAATAACAGAAATAGAGGTCAGAAGAGCTATAGAGAATCTCAAACTAAAAACAATGCCAGGCCCAGATGGTTTTACTAATATATTTTATAAAATAATGAAAGACCAACTTAAAGGAGAACTTGTTGACACATATAATTGCATAATGAGAACAGGTCAAATATCCGGAAGAGTTTCTGAGAGCAAACATAGTACCCATCCCAAAAGCAGATAAAGATGTGGAGCTGATCAGTAATTGCACAACGATTTCTTTAATCAATACAGATATTAAAATCTTTTCTTCCATTTTGGCAGAAAGATTAAAACGAGTTTGTAGCGGAGATACAATATTCCACAGATTATCTCCGCTTAAGATCCCAGTGAGGCTCAGGAACAAGTAATTATAAATCCACAGGCAAGGTTTCCAGCAGGTAAAATAATCCAACAGTATCCCAACAGCAATCCCAATAACTGGACGGCACACAGCATCAGGAGCAGAACTGAAAACCTTTATTCCCCATTGGCCTTATATAGCATGCTCCCATGCAAGGGAGGGACTTTCATCAATTAGTACAGTACCCAATCCGACAATAGTAACCTCCCACCTATCTCCTCCCCTCAGCCTGACTCATAATCCCCTTATACTGTACACAAATTCCCCCAGTTTCTGGATGTACCCCTAAACCTAGGGGTACCCCTTTAAATGGCACATCCCCTGGTAGCCCTGATCTGGGTGAGCAACATATCCAAAAATCACCCAGATCCGACCAGGGGTTCGGGAAATTTATGGAAGTACTAAAAAAACCGACCGCGCTGGAGAGAACAGCCGAATTGGGTTCCATGCGATGGGGCCCTGCGGTCGGTCCACGTATAAGGAAATAAATTACACGAAAGGCTAAGGCTACAGAGATCAGGTAGGGTTCGCATGAATCCCCTCGTTCGGTTGTTTCTGTCTACCGAACGAGGGGCCGTTCGGTAGTTTGGAACCGAACGGACCGGGCTTGTGGAGGTCTCAGCGGTGTTCGCCTAGTCGAGTGTCCGATTTGAGTTCCAGACACTCGACGGCAAAGTTCGGGAGTTTTAAAATGGCCGCCACCACGTGTTCGTTTCCCGAATGGCGGCCACCCCGCTAACAAAGGACCTACTGCATAGCTTGTTAATTACCCATTCGCAACATTGTTGCAACGGGTAATTGAAGGCACACTTCACACAGGGGAGGTCTGATTGTTCGGTAGTTTCATTCCCTTAGTTTATTCGAATGATTCTACCGAACAATCAGACGAATACACTTTATTTCAACACATACAAAACCAGCAGTTTACACGAATGCAGTTAAACACATGTAATTTTCAGGACAGCCCAGTGCCATCCGCTACAGAGTTATACCACAACTAATTAACTACGATCAAGTAGGGTTCATGCCAGAGAGGTCTCCTATCAACAATCTTAGAAAAATAATCAACATATTAGAAAAAACTGAAAAAAATTAAAATGCCCTTAATCTTACTATCGATAGACGCAGAGAAAGCGTGGGTTGGGATTTTATGTTGGCGACATTAAAACAATTTGGAATCAAGGATTCTATGTTACAAGCAATTTCAGCCCTCTACACGGAGCCATCAGCAAAAGTTATAGGGTCAGGATTTACTTCACAAAACTTCAACATAAGAAATGGTACAAGACAAGGATGCCCCCTTTCTCCATTGTTGTATATAATGGTTTTAGAACCCTTGGCAATCGCCATAAGACAAAACAAGAGAATAAAGGGCTTCACTAATAAGTCTGGACAATCAAAGCTTAATATATACGCAGATTACATTTTACTAACATTAGAAGATCCATAAATCTCGGTCCCAGGGTTACTGAAGGAAATAAAATTATATTCTAAAGTTTCAGGTTATAAGATGAACTTTGGGAAAATGAGTAATTAATTTTCTTGTACAAAACATTGGACTTACAGAGAATAAAGACAAGCTAAGTTATTTAGTCATAATGATAACTCCAGACTTAAAAGATTTAATCAAAGAGAATTTTCTACTGTTACTAAAACAAACAAATAAAAACTAAAGGGTTGGAAAGGATCAGGTAGAATTAACATCTTAAAAACATACATCTTGCCAAAATGGTTATACTTATGGAGAATGATACCTCTGAACTTTCCAGAAAATTGGTTAGCATTGTTACAGTCATCATTTTGCTAATTTGTGTGGGGAGGAAAAAGAGCTAGGGTGAAAATTCAGCTAGTATAAAACAAGATGGAGGACTGGGGTGTTCAGAGATAATGCAAAGCTACACGGCAAGCAGACTTTTTCACATTTTATCCACCCAAAATAAGATGGCAACCAAGAAATCTGTTATAGTATGGAAAAAACAAAAACATCGGTAAGCAATCTGTCATCACTATTTTGGATTATAGACCTGAACAAAAAAGCGAAGTTGCACGGAGCAAATCACAGATACTTTTAGATCTAACAAAATGGTGGGATAAAATCACGTTTAACATAGGCTTTATAAACAAA